CCTAACTGTAGTTTTCACATGCAAAACATATTGGAAAACGTTAAGCGGCCGATACTATATATATATTTTTCTTATGAAGTTTTATTCAGTTAACAATTTAAAAAAACTGAAAATTGCAATAGTTTTTTTTTTTTTTCAAAAATATTATTGGGCCAACTTCACCGACCTAAATATTTGGGATATTGGAGGGTAATTTTAATTCAGTTTAAGGATACAGTTTTTCGCGAAAACATAAATATTTGGTAATTATTTGTTGTTTAAAGCGTCCTTAAATAGTCCAAAATTTCTTCGTGGATTAGAAATTTTCCAGAGTTGGAACTCAATGGGAATAAAAGGTTTTGCAAAGCCTGTACACATGTATATCAAAAGAGTTGTTTGTGAAAAAAAGTCAAAGTGGTTCAACACGTGAAAACATCAGTGTATAAAGCCAAATTGCAAAAAATTAAATCACAACCAGTTCAACAATGAGTTACAAGGTCATTTCAAAACGCCGACAAAACAAGAAGTGACAAAGAGGTATTTATTCAGGATTTGTGCAAAGCTCTTGTTGCGTCAAATATTCCCGTAAAAAAGTATTGCAACACACTATTCCTGACGAATCTACACTGAGCAAAACTTAGGACTGGGAATATTGTATTTTAATTTGAAATAAAATACCATCATGATTCTTCTATAGTTAATTTTTTGGTAGCCCTTAATTTATTTTGCCCGGTATATAAAGCTACGGAAAACTTTCTGAGAAACTTTTAGTTTGTGGCACCATTTTTAAATAAGTTGTATTTGCTATTCTTTCCAAGTTATATACGCTTTTCTGGAGTAAAGACATTGAACACTTGCAATTGACCTTCGACAATTTCGCATTACTCATGGGCGAAGAAAGAGGGGGAATTTTGAATCTAGTAATTTTCCACACTCACTGCTATCTCTCTCTCTTATCCTCGCCTTACAACTGTTGGGTTAGCTATGACGATTACCTCATGTCATCGTTACTTTAAACAACTGTCATCGATTCATGATCGAAACCCCGCTGACGTATAGAGACAAACGCACCGCTTCTCTAAAAAATACCAGATCAAGCGGTACGTGCCGTTGAGTCATAGAGATGGAATTCTAGGACATTCCACATTGTCTAGAAATTTCTCGTACAGAGTTGGACTTATCGACGGACGGGCAGATTCGAATAAAGTGTTGGACAGAAAAGTTGAATTGTAATAAATAAATTAGAATTGCAAGTAGTGCATAAGTGTTATATACATTAACCCTTTAAGTCCCACCACCGTATTTCGACGTCATAAAAAAAGTGTTCTGAGTCCCAGCCGCCGTATATATACGTTCATATTGCATTAGTCGTATTTTTCCAAAGCCGCTTATCTATGGCAGTAAAAAATTTTGGCCCTCAGTAGTCCCAATGTCGTATGAATCCGTCGGAACTTGTTGCTCGTTTTTGCCCAAAGCCGCAGAATTGCGATCTGCAAGATATGACACACAGACCCATTGCCATATATTTGCGTATGAACCTGTGTCGACAGATCAGAACATGTAAACGTACAGTTTGGCTGCGTGTTTTCCTTAGCGATTGGTTCAGTCTCATTCAGCGTCGCAACAAGATTAGTTGTGCGTGCGATATGGAATCGAGTTCGGGAAAACAAACGCGTGGTTCCAAACGTAACTATAGTGAGAGTAGAAACTTCTATGGCTTGACAGAACAGGAATACGATGACATATTGGCGGCATTAGGCTCTGACGAAGAACCATTTGTAAACAGTGGGAGCGAATACGAACCCGATTCGGACCAAGAGTCGGTAAGCGAGGAGGAAATAAATGAAGTAATATTCGATGAGGTCGAAAATGAACCTGAAAATGACGCAAAAAATTCTGGAAGACAAGATGAACTCGAAGTGCGACCTCTGCAACAGGAGCAACCTCTGAAAGAGAACTTGACCCTCAAAGAACCATTAACTCTCGAATGGAGCACAAATACTTTCATTCCCAAAATATTTGCTTTTGATAATTCTGAGTCTGGGGTACACTTGGAGACAATCACAGATAAGTCAGATGTTCTATCTTATTTCCTTCTATTCATGGATACAGAGTTAGTAGAGCTAATTGTAGCTGAAACCAATAGATATGTCTCTGAGATTTCTGCAACGAAAAAATTGAAGTGGAGTGAACTTAAAGTCAACGAATATTACGTGTTTCTGGGCGTCATGTTACTGGTAGGGCGACCCGGGAAAAACAAGATGTGAAAATTGGTCATCTGATAAGTTGCTACATACGCCAATATTTTCTGAAATGATGTCAAGGAATCGTTTTCAAGCTATCCTTAGGATGTTGGACTTTGCAAATAATGCTGAGCAAGAAGAACGTGATAGTTTTTATAAACTGCGAGATGTGCTAACTATAACATCAAAACTTCAAAAATATTTTACTCCTTTCCAAAACCTTGCTATTGATGAGAGCTTGGTCCTTTTCAAGGGACGTTTACGATTCAAACAGTAGGTAAGATCAAAACACCATCGCTTTGGGATTAAACTGTTTCTAATATGTGACTGCAAAACGGGATATGTGTTGGGTATACTTGTCTATCTTGGTAAAGCAACGGAGCTTCCATTGTATTACTATCTCGGTTTATTTGGTTCAGTAGTAGCAAGTCTGATGAAGCCATATTTGAACAAAGGACATTCATTGTATACAGATAATTGGTATACATACTTTGTCTACATACCTACAAGAAAACAAGACTAATTCTTGTGGTACAGTTCGTACGAATCGTAAAGAAATGCCAAATTTAACACAAAAATTTAGTAAAGGCGAGACTGTTTCGACTTTGGACAAAGTCGATTTCAAGACAAAAGAGCCTATAAAAAAACCAGCTTGTGTTGTAGATTATAATGCAAACATGGGTGCAATAGATCGAGCTGACATGATGCTAAGCTCCACCGAGTGTGTAAGAAAAAGCACAAAATGGTATAAGAAGCTATTATTTCACATGGTTGATATGACTATGCTCAACTCACATGCGCTGTATTTGACGCAATCCACAGACAGAGTACCTCTTGCAGATTTTCAATTAATACTAATTCGGAAACTTTTCGAGAAGTAAGTTTACTACATTTATTTTTTCAAATCACACTTCACCACTCCATAACATATTACAATTGTCTCTTTTGTTTCAGATATAGTGAACCCAAGGAACAACTCTTTCGCCCTTTGACTAACAATCCTCAAAGATTCACAGGCCGACATTTTCCAAGTTCAGTTTCTAATAAAAAGGTCAAACGATGTGTTGTTTGCAGCCACAGGGCGACAAAAAAAAAGAAGTGAAACCAGATACATGTTTCTGAAAACTGCGGAGTTGGTCTGTGTGTAGTTCCATGTTTTGGAGTCTACCACACAAAAGAAACCTTTTAATTTTTTCACTAAAAAAATATTTTTTAAGCTTTTTTATCGTTTTGCTACTATTGTAAAGTACATTTTTCCTCCAAAAAAACATTTTTTCGCATTTGTTTATCTTCATTTGTAGTAGACGTATATATACGGCGGCTGGGACTCAGGGCAAAAAAAGGCTAGGCCTGAAGAACCATCATTTCAATTTAGGCCTGGGATCGAAAGGGTTAATTAGTACGTCATAAATAAATTCTAAATAGTGTGTTAAAATTAATAAACTAGAAATAAATTAAATTATCGTTACACTATATAATAGGGAGTCAGTGAAACTTTTTTGTTACACATTTGCATAAGGCTAAATTATTACCTAGTAGAAGATGGAAATACTTTGCTGCAATCGATCTAGAGGTAAAATATCTTGCCAGCAAGCAAGAAAGGCACTAATTTTAAGAAGATGACTTTTTTCTAATAACTTTTGATGCAAATATCTAAAAATTTTAAGTTTGCGCTTCTATTATGACAGCAATTTCTACACAGGCTATTTAAAATGGCATTGTCATGGGCTCCATCGTTGCCCAGCAAACTATTTCCTTGTTTTACAAGGTAAAAATGAACGAAATATTTGTAATTTTACCTTTTGCAAATAACACACCTAAAAGTGTCACTAGCTACCCTACCAATACTATCAAACGCAAAACAAAATGACATTTGCGGAGGTAAAACTGGTACTTAGGGTAGGAAACCTAACAACAATACATTTTTATGATTTTAAGCGGAAGTAGAATTTGCACATGAGTAATAGAAATAATAACGGGAAAGGTCTATTAACTTATAACTGTTAAAAGATTATACAGAATACCTCAAAATAACCTAACTTTAGCCTGGATCCAACTCCTACATAAATCTAATCTGATCTAACATATGGATTAGAAGTCTGAACACTACATTAATCTTTAAAAGATTATATTTTTCTAATATTATCTTTAGTTCAATAGATATAACCATTGTAATTTCTTAAATTGACACTCATCACCCTGTAGGTATTCCAATAATAAGAAAGCAAAAAAGGAAGACTACGAATATACTGGACGGAAGAAATAAAGAAACAACCGCAGGTTGTTGAATAAAGCCGCTATGTCTACAAAATATATATACTTAAATTTGCATTATAAAAATTAATAATACCCTCATGTAATTTTGCAGTCATATAAATGTTATCTTTATTATAATTTCATTTTATTGGATACCATTAAATATAAAATGACTAAATGGTTTAGGCATATTTGAATATGCAGGTTTATTACGGCTTTCATAATTACAATGGTACTTAATAACTATATAACTACTGCAATTTTGTTAATAATATAACACAAAAAATACAATTTATTGGATGAACGTATTTGTTAAGTATGGTGGGTTGCACTATATCCCTTAGGTCTCACTAAATAAATTTATTTTCAAAAATCATGCAGATTATTCATTTACAGTAATTTCAAATTTGAGAAGCTTTATTACGAATAATTGTATAAATATTCAGTCTGTCTCTCTTTGATCAATACTACTACATTATACGTTGATCTTATTAACATTTTTAAATTTAAATAAGTTCTCACCCTTCAAGAGAAGATTCGACTAGAGAAGCAACCGTATTTTCATAGATCTCGCCCTGAGTGGATTCCATATCGAACACATGGTTATAGGTGAACGCCTTATCACTTCCTAAAGTAACTTGAGGCTCCCCTGGTGTAACAGTCGTGCAAATATGACACATGTCAATGATTTCGCGTGGTGTCTGTGGGCGGATTCTGAAAAAAAAAAACAAAATACAATATCGAAGTCTAACAATGTTTCTGACAATATAATAATTAATTGCTTTTAGTTCATTAAATATACAGAAGAACTCGTTGTTTTTACTATATCTATAATTCATTATTATTTTTATTATTTGGATGAAGGAATTATTGACAAAAATGGAAAATATTGGTAAATATAATGGGATATTAGGTATATCAGTATATTTAAACAGAAACAATAAAACAACTGCAAGAGTCAACAACACAAGAATGATAATTTGCTTCATGTGGTTCTTCAAAGATAAAACAAACAGAGTAAATAACCCAGTAAAGGAAATGAAAAAATGCCGACATCCGAAAAATGTACAGACATAATTCCAATGGAAGCAAAAGAATATGAAGGTGGGCATGGGCGCCTTAGAATTTTTTCCAGGGAGGGTAAAGATACAATTTTGTGAACCTGACCTTAAAATCATATACGCTTAATTTTAATCCGGACTCTAATGATCGTTTAACCTTATTCCCAATCAGGGGCGGTTTCTCCATTGGTTCATTTGTGCAGTGAACACCCAGTTAAATTTCATAAGAGCACTTTATTTTAAAAATCACATATAAATAACTTAATAATATAAATTCACTTTAATATATTTATTATTTTCGTACGTATTAAGCTCTACTTTTTTGGTACCCCACTGCGCTCAGGCCGATCGCGTCTGTCGGTTCAATATGTTTAGTGAACGCGAGAGGTGTCTGAGAATGAATGTTAAAAAAGGTTAATAATAGATCCGTGGAAACAGCACTGTGCCTGCTTGAAACCACGCTATTTTTAGAATCATTTTGTGCATCGCACGTAGATTACGTCACGACAGTTAACTTCGCTTGGTTCAGCGATTAGTTATTGTCCTTGGTCTGGAAGTCAACGTTGCCACATTTGGTAGATTTCTGCTTTTTACTTTCCTATCTGTATACAGATATAAGGAAAGTATAGGAATCATGATTTTTTTCGACCTCGAGTTTTCGACGGATTTTTACGTTTTGAGGTCCCCTGAATCCGTTTTGACTATTTTCGCGATGATGTCTGTCTGTGTGTGTGTGTGTGTGTGTGTGTGTGTGTGTGTGTGTGTGTGTGTGTGTGTGTGTGTGTGTGTGTGTGTGTGTGTGTGTGTGTGTGTGTGTGTGTGTGTGTGTGTGTGTGTGTGTGTGTGTGTGTGTGTGTGTGTGTGTGTGTGTGTGTGTGTGTGTGTGTGTGTGTGTGTGTGTGTGTGTGTGTGTGTGTGTGTGTGTGTGTGTGTGTGTGTGTGTGTGTGTGTGTGTGTGTGTGTGTGTGTGTGTGTGTGTGTGTGTGTGTGTGTGTGTGTGTGTGTGTGTGTGTGTGTGTGTGTGTGTGTGTGTGTGTGTGTGTGTGTGTGTGTGTGTGTGTGTGTGTGTGTGTGTGTGTGTGTGTGTGTGTGTGTGTGTGTGTGTGTGTGTGTGTGTGTGTGTGTGTGTGTGTGTGTGTGTGTGTGTGTGTGTGTGTGTGTGTGTGTGTGTGTGTGTGTGTGTGTGTGTGTGTGTGTGTGTGTGTGTGTGTGTGTGTGTGTGTGTGTGTGTGTGTGTGTGTGTGTGTGTGTGTGTGTGTGTGTGTGTGTGTGTGTGTGTGTGTGTGTGTGTGTGTGTGTGTGTGTGTGTGTGTGTGTGTGTGTGTGTGTGTGTGTGTGTGTGTGTGTGTGTGTGTGTGTGTGTGTGTGTGTGTGTGTGTGTGTGTGTGTGTGTGTGTGTGTGTGTGTGTGTGTGTGTGTGTGTGTGTGTGTGTGTGTGTGTGTGTGTGTGTGTGTGTGTGTGTGTGTGTGTGTGTGTGTGTGTGTGTGTGTGTGTGTGTGTGTGTGTGTGTGTGTGTGTGTGTGTGTGTGTGTGTGTGTGTGTGTGTGTGTGTGTGTGTGTGTGTGTGTGTGTGTGTGTGTGTGTGTGTGTGTGTGTGTGTGTGTGTGTGTGTGTGTGTGTGTGTGTGTGTGTGTGTGTGTGTGTGTGTGTGTGTGTGTGTGTGTGTGTGTGTGTGTGTGTGTGTGTGTGTGTGTGTGTGTGTGTGTGTGTGTGTTGTGTGTGTGTGTGTGTGTGTGTGTGTGTGTGTGTGTGTGTGTGTGTGTGTGTGTGTGTGTGTGTGTGTGTGTGTGTGTGTGTGTGTGTGTGTGTGTGTGTGTGTGTGTGTGTGTGTGTGTGTGTGTGTGTGTGTGTGTGTGTGTGTGTGTGTGTGTGTGTGTGTGTGTGTGTGTGTGTGTGTGTGTGTGTGTGTGTGTGTGTGTGTGTGTGTGTGTGTGTGTGTGTGTGTGTGTGTGTGTGTGTGTGTGTGTGTGTGTGTGTCTGTAGGTCGCATAACTCATGAACCGATACACAGAAAAACACCAAATTTTAAACTTAAGCTTTATTCCAACGTCTAATGAGCTGATTAGATTTTGAGCAGAGTCGGAACATCTGGGGGGGTACTTTATAGGTGGTCATTTTTATATTTTATGGAATATATCTGTTATTTACGTTTGGAGAAAAAAATTCTTCAAATAAAAGTTACTTCTAATATAATTATCTATAAAACAAAAATTTTCCTAAAATGGTCCGTATTCGAGAAATTTGACAAAATGTAAAAAAAATATTTTTTTATAAAAATTGTTCAAATAAAAGTTGTTTGTTATATAATTCTCTATAATTTTTATTCTATACATAATTTCTCTAAAATGGACCGTATTCGAGATATTTGAGAAAATGTGTAAATTTCGAATTTTGAAGAAAACTCAAAAACGGATAAAGAAAAAAACATTAAATTTTAAACTTAAGGTTTATTTCGGCCTGACGTAAAATGATTAGATTTTGGACAAAGTCGGAACATCTAGGGGGTACTTTATGGGAGGCCGTTTTTATATTTTATGGAATATATCTGTTATTTATGTTTGGAGAAGAAAATTGTTCAAATAAAAGTTACTTCTAATATTATTATCTATAATTTTTGTTTTATGTCAAAATTTCCTGAAATGGTCCGTATTCGAGAAATTTGACAAAATGTGCAAAATTCTGATTTTTATGAAAATTGTTGAACTTAAAGTTGTTTGCGATATCGTTCTCTATAATTTTTGTTATAACATGATTTTTCTAAAATGGACCGTAATGGAAAAATTGTAGGAAATGTGGTAAATTTAAATTTTCAGTATTTTAATTTTCAATGAATATCTATAGAAAAATATTTCGAGGTAGATGTATGTGGAAAATGTATATATTTATTTTATCCTCTAAACATTTATGGAGGTGCTGCAATAGGTTGTACAAAATAACCGGAAAAAGCCTGTAATAACTAGATAGGAAAGTCATGTGTTGGACACATCAGATTTTTTGGTAGGTTTTCAGCTATTTTGGCTAGTTTTAGTAGACCATTTTCTTTTGGTAGATTTCAGTAGATTTCTATAAATTAATAAAAAAAATCCAATTACTCAAATAAAACTTCCTATTTAAATAATATTTTTGCCAAAATAGATTGCTAAAAACGTTAAGGCCGGGCGACCATCAAAATAAAGAATTTTAAACTCAAAGAGGTGGGCATGGTTTCTATGGCCCTCTCCATGGAGTCGCCGTTGGTAAGTTGTCTGAGAATTAAGCTAAAATTTTGTTTCTGTATTTTTTTTTCTCTTTACGCGGGTTCACTATTGTGATTTTGTAATACTCCTCTTAATTTGGTTTCACTAATTCCTAGAGCATCGCATACGCGTTGTTGTACAGACATTACCGATTTTAAAGGACCGCCATTTTCTTTTTCATCGGTAAAATACTTATATACACTACAAATTAGACTATCTACATCTAACACACGTCTAGGCATTTTTAAAATTTCCACTAAATTTACAATATACATACAATGTCAACACTTGCAAAGAATCAATTCAACTGCAATATTTGTAACAAATTTAGTACCTACCCTAATGTTATTTTAATTTAAATCTGACCATTAGGGCAATTTTACCTAATTTCTTGGGAAGAGACTTATTGGAACTGGTTGTCAATGACTAATTTGCATAATTTTGTTAATCCGAAACCCGCGTAAGTATAGCGAACAGACTGTACGTATAATTTTCCTGTGAAAAAGATGAAAACAAACAAAAAACCCTGTCTCTTGGTTTAACGATAACTTGAAAGCAATGAAAAAAATATTATCAACTTATAAGATTGTGGCAAATGCAATGATAATTTTATTGTACAAATAAATCTAAAGCTGCTGGCAAATTATAAATATCGAGAGGAATGAAATGAAATTTTCAGCATTTATAAATAATTTCCAAATAATCCCATATTTGTCCCAGAAAACACTTAATTTTTTGGTCGAGGGAAACCAGAATGCCTCTATTTTTTGGATTGCTCTTTAGTTTCTGTACCCACGTTTCGTCTATAGTAACAAGCAATCTAAAAAAAAAACGAATAATTGTCTTCAAAACGACGACAGAATCAATGTTTATCTGCAGTGATCACATAAATTGGTCTTCCACGGCGGTGCTCATCCCACCTCCCCCCAAAACCGGTATTACTATTTAATCAAAGCAACCAATTATTTACTTTACTTTGTCGGTGACCAAATAGGTGTAATTGATAATTAATGATTCCGGCAGACATATAATTAAGTGATTTGATTTTTTTTACAGTCACTACTATTTTAATACCTTCGTTCATTCTTCTACAAAACAATTTATTTCAAATTAATTACGTCGTGGCGTGATTTTTATTGGCAATTGTGTCGTTGATACTTTCAAATGATGTTGTTTAACAAACTATCAATTTACTTAATTCCAATTTCGATGCGATAGACGCATGTGGTTCGCCTATATTAAAAAAACCGGGCAAGTGCATAAAGGATTCCGCACCATCGTACAAGATTGGGGAGCCTCCTTTAATTTTTAATTTATTTTTATTTGTTGTTATAGCGGCAACAGAAATACACATTCTGTAAAAATTTCAACTGTCTACCTATTACGGATCATGAGGTATGGCCCGCTGACAGACAG